CATCCAGCTGGGCTGCCAGTGTCCCACCTGAGCCTCCTCTCCATTTAAAGCCCTCCTTTTTAAAGTTCTTTTTAAAGACCTTCCCAGTTCTGCAGGGTGGTTCTGAAGAGACCTGGGGTACTTTTATGTGTGATCCAGGGCAAAACCCTGGGCCTGGGCAGCCACTTGGGAGCCCTTCTCTCCTGTGACCTTGCTGTGTCCTTTAAATAAAGGACATATAGTAAATGCCAGCATAATCACGGGTGATTGGCTTTACCTTCGCCTGTGGATCTGAGGAAAGACTGAAGCTGAGATCAAAGAGAAAGTGTTCCACCACTAGAGCTGCCAACAGATAGTCGTGGCCTGGGTCAAATATGTAGTTCAGTAAGAATTTGCTGAGTATTTATTGTGGGTGATGAGATGCTAGACACTGAGAGTGTAAAGCAAAAGACATTGGAAGATGAGCAGCTGATCACAGTATGGTAGAAACATGAGTGGGGCCCCTGAGCCTGGGGCTGTGAGACAGCTCTTCTGAGAGAAAGCAGTCTTCAAGTTGAGTTGGACCTGACAAAGGGAGTTTGTAGGAGACTGAATAAAGGTGGGCCACAGAGAGGCCTTTTCTTATGGGGAGTGGCCTGGACATGGGAGAGCAGGCTTTGCTTTCAGAGAAGAAGCTTTTGGTATTCTTTGTAGGGAAGTGGTAAGAGGAGGCTGGATGTGTGGGCAGAGAACAAACAAAGAATCACCTTATGGCTGTAGTTTTTCTTCAAAAGGCAGTGCAAGCCACAAAAGAATATTGAGTAAAGGGCAATTTATCAGTTCTACAGGTAGAAAAGATCATTTGGTGGCAAGAGAGACCAGTGAAGGGTGAGGTGCATCAGAAACTCACAAGGAGAGAAAATGGGACGTGTCTGATTATCCCAAGAAGGCCGGCCATAAAAGATCCTCGCACCAGTTCACTGGAAATAGAGAATAGGCTAGGAGGGAAGTGAGTAAAGAAGCCAGATCAGATATCCGCGCCACCTAGGATGGGGCAGTGAGGTGAGGGCTGGCGTAGGGAAGAGACTTCAGAGGGGAGGGTACAGGATTGGAGATGGGTTAACTGAGCAGATCCATGTGCACGGACTACCCTGACTCTGCCCCTACCGAGGGAAGCCTGTAGTGGACAAGGTGAGGGTGGGATACAGTGTCAGGGGTGGAGGGGGGTGAGCCACACCTGCTTTTGTGCAGGCTGCTCTCAAGAGAAAATTCAGCAAAAGGCTGAAAACTAGCTTGCAGCTATATAACTAAGCTTAAGCTACTGTCTCTTTGTGCCAGGGAAGTCAAAAGAACACCCCAAAAGGGTGTGGCGAAATGGTGCGTTGAGGAGATTGAGGAAATGGTATGATGCCTGTGGCTCACCCATCTTTGCCAAATGCCTCTTAATCTCTGTCTCTGCTGAACATTTCTGTCCACACCTTTCCTTCCTCCAGTCCCCCTCCTGCTCATGCTCACTTCCTCCTGCCAAGAGTCCAGAAACTTCAATGCCAGCAGAAGAGTGCCAGTAAGAAACGGGAGGGAAGAGGAGGAGGAAGGTGCCTTCCCACAGCCCTGAGACCCACTCCTACCTAGTGTCAACCCCAAGGAGATCAGCTTAGTTGTTTTCCTTTGAGGAGTGACTCAGGGTTTCTCTGGGGTTTTTTTTTGTATTTGTCTTGTGAAATTGAAGGTAGCACACCTTCCCTGAGCATAAAATGTTATTGTGAACTTCGAGGCCTTCAGAAAGTGTCATTTCAGTCATAAGGAGCGGGTTCTGTGTGGGATAGGACATTCTGGCAACTTGTGATTGTTGGAGGTGTTATTCAGATGTTAAGTGCTGTACCTGGTGAGTGCTGGGTGTAATCCCACTCGGTGCCTCCTCAGGCATATGCCGCAGATGGGAACTAGAGCCTTGGGTCTCTGTGCTGGGGCACGCAACCAAACAGGCTTCTTTCTTCACTCACGTACACCAGAGATGCCAGTGGCGCCAGTGTACAATGGAGCAGCCCTGACTCTTCTAGGCAGGCTGCCTGGCCCTTTCTTATTACCATCCAGCTGGGCTGCCAGTGTCCCACCTGAGCCTCCTCTCCATTTAAAGCCCTCCTTTTTAAAGTTCTTTTTAAAGACCTTCCCAGTTCTGCAGTCCTAACTCTTGCAGTCCTATGTCAAGTGGGCCAAGTGCTGAGGCTCTACTAAATTTCCTGCAAAGCCCAAGTCTTAGTCCACAAGACTGAGTTCTTGGAACTCTGTGCCGCATCATTTGGCAACATTCATAGCCATCTTACAGTTGTGTGGCCTCGTGTGTATATCTTGTAGCTTGAGCAGCCTTGGTGTAGAATAGAACTTTAGTGGATGCTCCAGGGGCACCTGACCTGGAATCAGAGCTCAGGAGACCTGCTTGATGTATGAGTTGGTTTTATGTTTCTCAGACCCTGTCGTGTGCCATTATTCTCTCTGCCAGTAAGTTTCTGGGAAGAGAGGCCTCATGACCCGGAGCCTAATAAGGGAACAAGATTAATCTTCCAGATTCTGGCCTCAGGGCTTCCTTCCCTGTGCTTCCTGGCTTCCAGGTGCCTTCCCCTTCCTCCTGGGAGTCCTCCAATACCTAATGCCTGAGCTACCTAAGAAGCGCTGTCTGCCAGTACCTCTGGCCCCAGAAACCCTCACCCAGGGTCCACCAGGGAATCTCAAGCCCCCTGAGGTGCACGCTCCACCCTTCTGGAACCCGTCAGCCTCTTAGATGGCTGAAGGGACAGAGGAATTACCAGTCCTTTCCCAGGGGCCAGGCTCCTGTCATGTTTCTCCCTAGACCTTCCAGCCATCACCACCATCCAGCAGAGTACTAGGGAAATACACACACTATTACAAGACAGCATTATTTGTACTTTTTAACTGTATTCTAAGTACAAGCCTCTTCTTGTAAGGCTCTGGCTAAATGTAGATGGAAGGGAGTATTTCAGAGGCCCTTTGTGAAGAAAGTGTGATCTTTCTCTTAAGAGCTTTGGGGTGAGGTCCTGTGGGTAGCAGAGAGCATTGCGTGGGAGAGGTGAGCACCAAAGGGAGCACCAGCTCATCTTGCTTACCCAGGGACTTTTGTCCTTTCAGGCTGGAGTCCGGCGCTGAATCTTGCCGCCCTGGATTGTGCTGATGAAACCAACAACGCTGTCTGCAGAGACTTCAACATCCTTGGCTTCCCAAGTGTGAAGGTGTGTAACAGAGAGGGGAAGTGAGGCTGGGAAAGGGTTCTGACTGGGCATTTTACCAGCTACTCTGTGCTTCCCTCGCATCTGCCCAGGATGCTGAGCTCTTTGGGGTCCCCATGCTTCTGGGCCTGAGTTATTTAAATCACAGTCTCCGGAGCACTGTTCCCCCTTGTTTTAGAGATGCAGGCAGAAAATAAAGTGTTATTTGGTTTGGAAAAATCTGCCCTTTGTAAAGGAAAGGGCCCTGTGAGGGGTGTTGGAGTGGGTAGATTTTAGCTTCTCTGAGTTGAGCTGTGGAATGACGATTGTGTGGGCTGGTGAGTGCTCCCAGCTCCAAGGGTCCTGTTTAATCTCTGTCACTCATGACTTCCCAGCCTTAGAAGTCTGACTTCACTCTGTAAAACCAGGATCCAGACTCTGACCTATCTGGGGGCAGGATCCAACTCTGGCACCCTAATGGTCCCCCCAAAAAGGACTCCAGAGACACTGATAAGCCTCATTCTCATCAGGCAAGTGCTTTGACCCCCATGTGGTCAGAATTGAACCAAAGGGGTAGCCTCAGCCCATAATTAAAATGCCAGTGCCTTGGGTAGTATCACCCTCAAGGCAATGAGGGATTTGTCACTCTAGCTATGGCAGACGGTAGAACTGGCTCACTGATGATGCTTTGCCTGCTAGCCTGCCCAGCACAGAGCACCAAGAGTTTAATTAATATCTGAACAACTTCCAGGGCTTTCAAACGGAATGCCCTGCGTAGCAAGACTGCTGCCATTATGGCAAGGGCCCTCCTCGGGCTCAGGCCTGGCTCTGATCCAGTTAGTTTTCTTCCAGATTAGTGAAGCTGAATCCAAATCTCTCTCTTCCTTCCTCCAGCTATAAATTATACCCCCCCACACACACACCAGCATGGCATCTAGAAAAGTAGTTTCTTCTGTAGCCATTACGAATAATCAGGAAATACCTTTGAAAGCTGAGAGGCCATGTATTGTCCCTAGAATGTGGTATCTCTGAGCTCAGGGACCTCAAGTTCCAGGCAGACCCATGAGCCAGAACTCATTACCCCAACAGTGTTCATCTGGAAATCAAGGCCCCAAGCTCCTTCAGAATGTCTTGCTCTAGTTCCATGCAACCTTCCTGTTCCTCAAGCCCAGGACAGTCCTGCTGGTCTCAGGTTTCATAGCCTCCTAGGGGTCTCTTCCAAAATTGTTACCACTTAGGGCAAAGTTGGCCTAGGAAACGGTGCAACAAGCCAACAGCTAATGCCCATCAGTTAAGAGGCAGCAATGGAGATTACTTATTAGTCACTGCCCTCAAATAGAAGACTTCCCAGGCAAGGACATTGCTTTGTCCTCTGCTGCAACTGAAAATACTCATGGGGCCCCTGTTTGTTGTGGTGAGGCAGAGTAAGCAGTCCTGGGTGGGCAGTGGGTAGAACACCAGTTTGGCAACAGGAGCTATCACAGGCTGATGCAGTAGTTTTCTCCCAGTAAGGCTTGAACACAGCTTCAGCCACTGCCCATCCTTCATGGAGAGACTAGCATTGGTACACTGGCCAGTCAAGAATCCTCTTGTGCTTCTGGAAGGCCTGACACTGGGCTTTCTGTTCTGTTCAGAAGAGGCTGAGCCCAGTGTGTTTAAAGGAGGTAATCCAGGCAGTCACAAGTCTGAGGCTCTTCAGCACCTACCCAGGTCACGCAGCACACATACCCTGGATACTTCAAGTGATTAGTCACCTCCTTACCTGCTCAGCTGGCTGTGGGAAGGGCTGGGAGGGCCAGTAACTGGTCTTGGCCTTCCCTGGCTTCAGACAGGTAGCATCTGGCTGGGCAAGTCCAGTAGTCAGCTATCCAGTCCTTAAGCTTTCCAGAGACCAGTGCTGTGGCCTCGCTTGGCCTAGCCTTCCCTGCCTATTCTGAGGAACCTGAAGCTCAGTTCAGCCATGCAGAAGTACGAAGGGCTTTGTCCTCAGGCCTCAAGTCCACAACCAAGTGGTTCAGGCTATTGGTGGATCCCTACAGTGAGGCCTTTTGCAGTGGATTTCCAATGTTTTCTGTGACCTGCAGTGAGACATATACATTTTATATTGTGAGCCCAAAGTTGGTTTGTATTCATTGCTAAAACCAAAATTTTTATAAATTTTTTTTTTTTTTTTACCAAGGACAATAGATACTATTTTCTACTTTTTGAAAAAAAAATACTGGCTCTGATTTGCTAAATTGATTTCACAACTTACTACTAGGTTGCTGCTAATGTTTTTAAAAAGCTGAAATACTTTCCAGATTTTCAGAGATTCTGGCCCACTGAGAGCTTAGTACCTGTGGGCAGTGTGACTGGGTTCTATAGAAAGCAGAGTAGACCCTAGAGGCCTGCCTGGCTTCCAGCAGCCTGCTGGACAGATAGCCCTGTTCTGCTGTCTGCTGTCCCCTGGGGGCCAGAACTTGACCTTGTTTACTCTACCGACAGAGGCTATGGGAGCCTTAAAGGAGAGGACTCATGTTAGGCAGGGAGTAGGAGAGTGTTGCTACTGTGAAGCAGACAGTCCCACACAAGTCTGGCCACCAGCAGTGATAAGTGTCACCACCCTTTTCTCTACCTCCTTACCCCTTGTCATCATAAGCAAGGAGTGAGCCTTCGCCAGCCCAGTCTATTTAGCAAATACCTGACATAAAGGGCAGGACCACTGTATCAGGTATCCATCATTCTGGAGCTGGAGCCCCATTGGAAAGAAGCAAAGATACAGGGAATGAGGGGTGAGTTTCCAGAAGGCTCTAACTGAAGCTTGGGGACCTAGACATTGTACTTCTGTGTTTGGGTGGGTGTGTATTTTCCCTGGACCACAACCACACCTCTCAGTGGGCAGTGGAATAGGACACTTTGTGGCTAAAGGCTTGGCTTCAGTAAAGATTACATGGAACAGTAGTGGTGCAGAGAGAGGACAAGTCTTTCTTTTGCAAGATTCTGAGGAGATCATTAATGTGGACTCAAATCCTGGCTCCACTGCTTCCAGTGTATGACCTGGAAAGTTACTTAACAGTGTTCCAGCCAGCTGGTTGGCGAAACCTGAAGAGTCCCATTGCCAACTGGCTTCCTGCCCTCCACATTGCCCCTGGCGGTGGAGGAGGATGAGCTGTAGTCTTCGGAGATTATTTTGAGGTACCTGTGGGAGCAGGCCATCAGAGCCAAGGACTCAAAGCTGCTGGGGAGGGGGCAGGGCCAGGGCCACCAGCAGGAAGGGTCAGGGACCACATGTAGCGCAACCACAAGATGGCTTTCCAAGGAATGCTTTGGAAACTGAACATCAAAAACGAAGATGGTGTCAAATCTTTATCATGCCTGATGGTTGATGTTTTCAGTTACAGCGTAACTGGGGCAGGATTGTGACTCACTTCTCTTGGTGCCTTTGTGGCCAAACACTTGAAGCACATAGACCAAGAAAGCTGTATCACACTACTAGCAGATAGTATCACAGATGTTCACATACAGACAAAAAGGGACTGGCTAGTCAAACAAAGAGGCTGGGCTGGGTTTGTGCAGTTCTTCCATGTAGAGGATCTAGAAGGTGGTATCAGAATGTGCTGTTGGCTTTTGCAGTGGAGTAGGAGCTGGTTTGGCATATCTAATAAGATAGACTTGTAAATGCAGTGGTTGACTGTTAATTCCAGGCATTAAAACAATATACTTCTGTGAAATTAAAGTATTTATGAAACTGGGCTTGAAACTGTCGAAGCAGCAACTGTGAAGAGGCCAGAAGCCAGAAAATTATGGCTACCAGTAATGGGGAAAAGTAGTCTCCTTCAGGAATCAAAGCGAAAGAAGCAATGTACAGTTTCAGCAACAAGCAAACTGTGGGAGACCATGACAGACTTCCAGATTTAGTGAAGATAATGGGGCGGAAAGACTTGATTCCGTTGTGTAGAACTGGAAGAGTGGCCAGTAGCCAGCTAGTCATAGAAGTCATTACATATGCCACCAAATTATCAGGTGTCTAGTGTTAAAAGAGAAGCACTAACAATGCTAGTGACTGTGTGAGATAGATTTAAGCTACAAGGAATTGTACTCTGACCACAGGCCTCGGTATTGTAGAACAGTGTGTGAAGAGTAGCTTCTCACTTTCCCCAGTGTATTTCTTGAAGAATGGGCCAACAATAGTTAGGAATATGGAATAGTCTCAATTTTTAAAACAAAAACAACTTGTATTTGTCTGTAAAAATTCTGTAAAAATTATACAATTTTTACAGAAAGTATTGCTTTGGACATAAAATACATCTCAAATTTATAGTACTTTTTAAAATATGCTTTTCAAATTTGTGACTTCTGTAGTTAAGAATCTATTTCTTACAGCCTTTCTGTTCAGAGCTTTGTCCTGGTCAGTTCTAGAGTGAATATAGAGCTAATTAATGCTACTTGTATACAAACTGGTTGTACTGGAACAAATCTGATTCATAACTATGCAGTGCTTAATTTTTCAGTTTGATTTTGGTAAATATTCCTTAAATAGGTTCTGGGGGAGGATGGGCTGATGTTTTAAAATTAATGGGCCCTGATTAGATAACTTCGTTTGAGTTCTTAAATTTGACCTAACTTAACTGGTACAACTTAAAACTGAGTTCATAAGGTCATCTTTAAAGCTTTTACTGAAAAATTCTCAGCTGTTTCAAGTGAGCATTGCATATGAGAGACATTGGATTTCTTGTTAATTTCTAAAACGATAGCTTGCAAAACCAGTCTTAATGGTGTTAAGACTGGGCTTGCTTGTTAAAACATAGGTTTAAGCCTAGTATGCAAATAAAAGAAATACTCAACTGTTTTTTTTTTTTTTTTTTAAAAAAAAAAAATGCTGTGCAGCCTTGAGCCTCAATTTCCCTGTCTGTAAAAATGGAGTGATGATATCTACCTAGTAGATACACATTGCTGAGTGTAAAGTGAGGTCTTACCTGTGAAAGTGCTGAGGCGTTGGTATTATTTCAGGTTCGGTATACATTAGTTTTCTTCTCATTGCCCTA